CCGGGGGGGAAGAGGTGCGGACAGAGCGTGCAGAGCGCAGATGGGGAGAAGGACAAGGGCAGATTGGCACGTACAAGAGAAGGGGGAGAAGTGAGGCACACTGGTTTCTCTATCGAGGGAGACCAGGCGCAGGCCGTTGGTGGTGGGTTCGCCTGACTAAGTGATGTCAGGATGGGATTGAAGTCGGTCGGCGACGCAGAGCCTCAGACAGCGCAGGATGAGTGAAAGCCCTGGTCTGGTTGGATCTCTTTGGCGGTCCAGAACTGTGGTTATGGTTGTTGGGTTCCACCTCTGCGCATGCGGGCTTGCTTGCTTGCTTGCTTGCCTGCTTGCTTGCCTGCTTGTTTGCTGGGCCTGCCAGACCAGGCCAGGCCGTGTGGGCGTTGAGATGTGACAGAATGGTGGACGTCAAGCTGGAGGGGAAGGGACCAGTTCGGCACCGCGCGAGAACTTTTTTGGCGGCAACTGGAAAGGGGCGTGGCAGTGATGTCGGGGGCGCCTGTTGATGCGTCTCGACTTGATTGCGTATCGCCAGGGCCAAGGGTGCCGCAGAAAGCAAGGTGTTTGGTTGAGTAGCAGGGAGACAGACTGATGTCTGGCGCGGGTGCGGGTGAGTTGCAGTGCACCCTGAATAGGTAGGCACTTCTGAGACTAAGGAAGGGGACCAGTCGTGGCCCAATTGCGTCAGGACAGAAGGGGTGCCGTCGGCGAGGAGGGGGAGGGGAGGGAAGGGGTCCGGTTTGGCAGTTGCGTGTTCTCAAAGGGTCCGTGGCGCCGTAGCCGTCACGACGACAACAAGTGAGACTCGACGAACAGGCGCTGGGATGGATGCGAGGGGCAGACAAGCAGAAAAAAAAAAGTGAGAGTATATGTGCTCTCGAGCAGATGGGGATGAGAAAAGGCAAAGGCGGAGAAGCCTTGTCGCCTCGCATCGAACTGGGTATGAGGGTAGGAGGTAGGTAGGTATATCAGGTCTGATGTGGTCAGGGAACTAGGACTGGGATATTCCGCTTCACGAGTCTCCAGCAAAACGACGGGCGCTGTGCTTGGGTCGGGAGGTTCCTGCCTGTCTACCTAAGCAAGCTAAGGTACCTACCTACCTAGGTACATGGTAGGAAGGTAGATACTTGGCTGTCTATCCAACCCGCCTTATCACCTCCTGCCTGCCATGACCATCGGGCCAGGCAGGACCTAGGACAGGTGTGTCGCACTGGTCATGCCTCACGTCTCGCGCTTCGTTCACGTTCATGCCGAAATAACGGACCCGTCCAATGATATGCTTTGTGTGACGGCGACCCCCTTTTGCCTGGCCGTTGGTGGCTTGGACTAGCTGATGAGGTAAGACTTCTGTCGCCTTCTGTTGGTGCTTCTACCTGAGGGAAGGAGGTCTGAGTGGCAGTCTTGTCCTGTCATTTCACCTTGAGTCTGCAGGTGCCATCCGACGTCATGGGGCGCGGCAGCACTGGGTTGCATGTTTGCATGATGTGCTACAGTGAGGGGTTCCGCCGTCCCCGAGGCAATCTAAGGTACCTAGGTAGGTACTTTACGGTTTCTCTGCAAGCTGGGTAGGCACCGACGAGGAGGCAGATCCCCAGCAAGAGACGCCAGAGAACGTATCGACACGAGCAAGCATGGCACATCACAGTGCTACCGAGACCTTTACGCCCGCCTCTGGCCATCATCTTGCCGTTCCCCGCGACAACATGCCCTTCGGCGGGGCACCATGTTCGGTTCATCGGCCTCCCGTTGGAGGGCCCGTTCGAGAGCAGAGCCCCCGGAGGGTTATCCCTCCAGTCAATTGTCAGCGGCGTCCCGGCGGTAGGAGATTTGCCGATGGCCATGTTGAAGCAGCCTGTGGCGGTGATCATGCCCGGCACTGGTGCTGCTACGCTGGAACTGCCGTGCCGCCAGGGTGAGCCCAAGGTTTTCGTTAGCTCGTTTACCCCGACCTCCCCGCTCGAACCGCATCGTCGGGCAGAGAGACACAGTCTGAGCCTTTCGGCTCCTTTCACACGGGCAAAGATGATTGTCTGGTTTTTAGTTCGGTGAAGTGAGTGTCGGTCGAGCCAGCCATTCCAGAGGGGGGGGGGGGGGGGGG